GTATTAAAATTTACTGGGATATGATTGTTTCTTTTCAAAAGGTTAGAGAAATGGAGCTTCAAAGGTTAAAAAAGTTTTAAAAACATGGAGATATCGGATGACATTCATTACGATGGGATTTATTGAACCAAAAGTTGACTTGTTTCCTGGACTCTGAGTGATTGATTTGCTGTTCAATTGAGAAGATCGGTTAAATATTTATTGTTACTCCATTTACATACTGGGTTTCTATTCGAATGTGCTTAATCATAAAAAATCTTCATAGGAATGAGCATTCATTGCCACTTGGCTGTGAAATGATCATTACGCCGAGCGCTATGCATCTATTCGGTTACATTAATTAAAATCTTTGTGTATTACTGCTCCGAAAGGATTACCAGTTTGTTTCTGCGATCGGTTGTTTTCAGCAGCGAATACAAGTGATCACTAGAACATGTTCACTCAATCAGTCGGATTATACGTTCAGACATTTTTCGAGTCGCTCTCTCTAGAAATCATTGGACATTACGGGAGATTAGTCCTACACCTGTATGATCACCAAATCAGCGATCGAAATTGCAAACTTTTTGAAGATGAGTGATATCCCCCGTTAATATCGCTGGATGTGCGCAACGAGGGATGCCAAAGAGGGAAGAATTCAATATTTCCGATACTGGTGACAAAGACATAATCTCGTAACGAGTCGTAATTGTTTGTCGAACAAGTAATGAACCAGTTAAGAAGCGAAAAGAATGTCGTTAACCACAAACAAAATCAAAGGAAAGGAATTTTAAAAGATCAAAACACAGTATGAACGAAATTCGAGCTATGTTCAGAGGAAGACAAAATAAATATTCAAAAATTANGTTGTTTATGGGTATCGATAAAGCTTTACTGATACAGCAAAATCATCAAATTTACTTCATTCAAGTAGAATCGAGCGAATCAATTGAATGATTAAGATTAGGAAGGATTCGAATTTGATTCGTCAGTTCGATCGTAGCACTAATTCGACGTTTCAAGAACAGCGTTCGATCTGCTGGCTGCGAGTGAATCAAACGACAATTGAGGTTTTATGCTATCAGTAGCATCTGTTGGTAGAAGAGGTGTTGAACCGTGCGAGAGGATATGCATATCTTCATAAAACGACATACAACTAAAAATTTACTCCATTTTATGAGAATTCAATGACGATAAATTATCTCTGAAAGGTTATTATCTGCAGGCAAGGAATGATAGTTGGTTATTCGTAAAGTTCATTCTGAACAATTCAGATGGGTCTTCTGATTTTAGAAAATTGTTGAGATTCATGAGCTCTTTAATGCAGATATCACAAGAATGTAATTCGTTGTTATTATTGCTATCGATGTTCATAGTAATCGTTCAAGGAACGGTATCGAATCGTTGAGTAAAACAGCACAAGATGGAATGATGTAACCTGTAAATAACTGTCATTTGCCACACGTGTATCACGGCCAGCAGCAAAAAACCTCCAACAGATGTGCAAACAACGATAACTGTGTATGTATCTGATGGTGACTGCTTCACTGAATGACCTGAAGCAATTGTTAATATCTCCATCAGTATTTTGTTCGTTTACGCCCTAGCACATGTCATGGAAAGAAAACTGCAACTTTTGATGCTTATATAAGCTTTCAGTGAGAGTGAGATAAATACTATCGTTCAAATGAAGGAAATCTGATCGCTATGAGAGATCACTGTTAATGAGAAATGTAACAGTTTCGGAAATATTCGTTAAGAATTGATATCTCTATAAAAGGCGCTGTTAAATGAAGATGTTGCTCAATCCCCTTTCCATTTTTTTTGTTCATTGCGTTTTCAAAAAGTGCAAAAGATTTCGTTGCATTCTCACGAATTGCCTCTCTTCGGAAACACTTTCATGGAATCAAATTATGGGAGAGTGGCGTTGTCATCATCGAAGATGAATTATAATAGAGTGATATAAACATAAATAAAGCGTCAAAAATCTAAATAATAGCAAGAAAACCAACGAATTATTTGTCGTAAAGTTGGATAATTAACTGCAGTGAAGGCAATAATGATTAGAGCCATAAAAATGCATACAATCACATGAACACCCTAAAAGACATCGATTTCTTAGCAATTGCATGAATACAACAAACTCATCTCGACCAGCACGATTCATCTGTCTCAGGGTTTCTTAATCAGGGGTACGATACAGCATTCCAGAGAGTGCGAGATAGCATTTGATTTTTCATGCATTAAAGTAGACGAGGGCGGATTTCAACTACAAACATTCACTATAGTGGATCAGAGATACGAACGTCAATTTTTGAAAATGCTGTTAGTGATCAAAACCCGAAAATAGCTCTCAACAACTTCAATTGATCAGTTAGACATAAGTAAAAAGTAGTGCAGGTGAAAATTTGTACCGTTATAATGAGAAATGGATACAGATATTTATGTTTCTCGTTGACCAACGCATAAGTTGTCAGTGAAATGATAACAATCGGAATACCGATCCAAACGATTAAAGATTTCATACCAAACGTTAGACCAACACCCATTAGAGATGTGTAAAATATCAAGAACAGCTTTGTTCCACGCTGAAATATCCGACGAAAATTTACTCAATGCGTATTGTATCTGTAAGAGACAATCATTGAAACTTCAACATATCTGATGAATGACAACGCTATCACAGATATATACTTAATGTTTTATGATACTTGGCAACTTACAATTAGTATTGAAACAAAAGATGTATCATTTGAATCAAATATGAGAACTTTTCAACTGTCGAATGGATGAAATAACAATCATGTTCTCATATTTGTCTCTTCGATAGCAGGTTAAGAAAAATCTTTGTTTTGCTTCAAATTACTCGCTTTGAGTAAACGAAGAATGCAATGAATGTACGGTGATATAATGGGAATGAAAGCATTAAGATAACACATAAGTATATTGGAACTGACCACTGAATTCATCAAACCACAGCAACAACGATGTTTCCGCGAGATCGCTTGATGATAATCGACATTTTTGATTTCATTTTCATCAGCGTATTCAATCGACACATTAATTGGGAAATAATTTGATGTTGAATCCAAATGACTAAGATTAGCTGAAATAAAGTTTCAACTTAACATCTATGGTGAACAAGTCCCTTCAGGTCAATATTAAATAGCAGTTAGAAGCACAATGGACTTATTGTTAGACTGTTTATTGATTTTTATATCAAAATCAACGATAAAATGAAATGATGACGAAAAGCTAATATTGATAATAATAAGGCTGCACATTTTTGCAAAAACAACGGAAACCATAGTAAAATTGTTAGTAGGAGACTGGTACAGGAAATAAAGCATTGATTAAGACTAAATTTGGTATCCGTTTGATTGTTGATTTTCGAAGAAACTCTTCGAGCTGGTGAAGCCTATGCTTGGAAAGATGACTGTATTTCACTGGAGAGATGACTGTACGATAAAAGAGGTCAACGCGAGAGACTGAGCACTATAGTTCCAAAAGTTTCAGGGAGCAAACAGTTCAAATAACATTGATTATATTCGCTGTTAGCTCGTCAGAAATTCTCGAAATGCTTACAGTTGTGTTCGATTTTTCCAAACGGAATCATAGCCGAACGCTCCTTTGGATCGTTCAACCAACGAGAGAACAATTTCACGCTGATCATGCAATTATTCTCATGCAGATCTTCATTAGATGATACCGTGTGAGTGTAAAAGCACTGAACAGAATAGTGTAATTGGATGTCAATTCGATGAGCATACTCGCATAGACGGGTCAAGCTTATCAGTATCAGTAGAAACTATCGAATAAGTTTGACTACTTCCAGTGAAGTATCGACCGAACGTCACAGTGAAATGGTTTTCGACTGTACATAGCGCTCGAAAGTGCAAAGAAGAAAAACTGAAAAAATTTTCTTGAAAGGAAAGTAGTGCAAGATATCGTGTCGTGAGTGGAGAAAGATGAAAGGTTTTCGTTATTATCATAAGGAACAAGATGTGTGAAGATGTAAATATAATGACAATTTAAAAACTGAGGTCTTTTTTTACCATAGGGACGAAGTGTTTCTGAGGTTATCTCAATAAGATGAATAGCACTAGTCAACAGCCAAATTGCTTCCGAGGTCAGAGTGGTACTTTTTCATTTATTTTAGATCACTGATAATGAATAAGGTTGCTAAAATTGCTTGGTTAACGTTAGTTTGCAAGATATTCATATATGTCAGAACAGCTTCCAACAGAGGAACAGTTAGCCATATATTTGAGTAGGCCAAAAGGTTTTCATGGGGAGTGAAATCACGCATTTTGGGTAATTTGAAGATGTCAAGGAGTAATGGAGGGGGTCGGGAAATTAGTATTTGGTGCACTTGTTATGTTTTGATTGAAGGCCATTGTGAAGGTGTTTTTTAATTTGGGTAAACTCTTCATTAGCTCGTTCGGACATAACAGAGTTTTCATTCGTTTTGACAGGGTTTTCATTCTTTTCCTTGCTGATACAATCACTCTCATAGCTTTTATCATCAAAACTGTTCTCTTTTACTGATTTTTCATCCATATAATACAACAATTAAAGTCAAATTCTTATTCTGTCGAATATACTCTATAATTGATCATTTGACTGTCGAACGTTGTGGAGTCAATTGCTGTATTGTTGATTTCGGCTGTAAACACCGTCAACGTATCCAGCAAATAGTATATCCTACAGAATGAGAAATTGATTCAAATTGTGTAGTGAAATGAGACGAAGTGAATGAGAAAAACTCATCAAGACAACGATATTCGCATGTGATAGCTATTAGAGTGAATACAACACGTCTGAAAAGAATGAGAATCCGTCTAAATCAGTTTTAAATGAGCGTGTTATAGACAACAACTTTTCATGCAATCATAATCGATTGTAACGATGAGCTACACAACGATCTAGCACAGTGGTTCTCATAGGAAGTGGAATTACCCGCTTTGGATAGTTTGGGGGCGCCAGAAGGGGGTGCGGGTAATAGCCTGTCAGATCATTAAAAGGCGTGCAGCGTCCGAACGTGAAGACCATTGATGTAGGCTACGTACCACCTATAAAAGAAACAACCTATGAGAATATATGGAGCATGTTGAACTTTAGTTGGAGCTATTGCTGTTGTGATAGGCTTGTAGGGTGGATACAGTGCATACGGTTGCTTTCTATGTGAATGAGACAATCGTGCAAGAGATCCCCATCGATCACGAAAGACTGGTCACCTCATCAGTTATTGAAGGTTGTTATAAAAACTGTTGAACATCCACCATCGTTCAACCAAATAAAATTTCACTTCCACAGCTGCACACAAAACTGCGGTTCATGAAGAACTTTGCAAAAGCTGTGGGCAAATCCTGTCAAGGATTCAAGCAATCAAGAGCAAAATTCCGATCATTGCATGATGCTGAATCAAACGAAGGAACCTTTGTCGGCCCTCAGATTGCTAAACTTCTCGAAGATAGCAATACTGAATCAGCCCTTCATAGAAAAGATAAAGTTGCTTAAGAAGCATTCAACTCACTTGTAAAGTGATATATCGGAAACAAATGGGAAGAAAACTATGTGGAACTGCTGAAAAACCTCATCAAGGCTTACAAGATCTCTGGATGCAACCTTTCACTTGAAATCCAATTTTTGGACTCATGCATACAATTAGACTTCTTTGTAGCTAACTGCAATGCAGCGAGTGATGTACACTGTGAATGGTTTTACGAAGATATTTCATTGCTGTAAAAATGGCATCAGGATGACTGGAGCACAACCATGATTTGTAGTGTATTGTTGGTCATTGCTGAGTGTTGTTTCCGCATTCGAATAAAAGCGTCAAGTAAAAATGAGGAAGATTGATGAGGAATGAAACATGACCTAGTGCGCATTGTAATAAAACATTCAAATATTGTTTGTGTATCTTTAGAACCATAGCCAATGAGCTATTTTCAATGTGCTGTTTGGATTTGTCACATGAACCTACTTGAGAATCAGCTAATCTCATTTAAGAACCACATGAATGTTCAAACATTTTTGATCTAAATAACTGATTCTGAGCTTTCAGTGATAAGTACAGATGATTTCTCAACGTGGAAAAGAATAAATTTGCATTATTGACATTCCAGAATATTTCTTTCTATCAAAGAATGGGCATTGTTCATTTTTTCGTCTATTTCACTAAAATATTATTGTTGAAATTGCATTGTTCCTTGACGTTCATCTCTCTTCCACCATTCGGATTGCTTCAAATCGAAGTTTTTCCAACATATGCTTTCGAGCTTTCGAATTTCGACTGGCTCTAGTTCGAAATTCTGATCAAATGACTGACCCTCAGTTTCGAGGAAAATTCGGGGATCAAGTTCGGAATCGGAGACGACATTGAGTTTTTCCCCAAAGTTAATCATCCTTGCTCTTTGTCCCCGTATTCCGTGCCGGACTTTTTTCAAGACCACCGCATTTTCGAGGTTCCCGATTTTCATCATTTCCGACCATTTTTTCTTTCCGGCAACACACTAAATCGCACAGTTCACCTAGTTTGTGACCACTCAGTGCATAATCGTAGTACAGCAGTCCACTCA